CATTTGCAGTGATGTTTACTACAGTGGAAAAATCTTTTATTGAGAAAAAAGAAGAGTAACACTCAGAGATAGCTGGAAGCAGTGAGCAACAGTTTTCACAGTGAGGAAGGCTACCAGCAGTGACCCAAGGATCTGTGTGGGAACCTGTGTTATTCAAGGTACTCGTACGTATCTGGAAAAATTGATCAACCGTGAGCTGATGATATTAATGAATGATACAGACTCATTCAAGATGACTGGATCGAAAGCGAATAGCAATGAACTATGACTGTCACAACACAGAGTTGGAAAAATGGTAAAGGAAACTCATTGGTAGTAAGTACAAAATAATAATGGTGTTAACCAGTAGTTTAGTGAGCACAGGAACTAATGAAGCCTAGATCTATAACCAGCAGTTGAGTGACATTTTAATTGAATTATATTAAGGCTGCAGTGTGACTTCAGTCTTTATTACACATAAAAGAATCCACAGAGAAAAGCCCTAAGGTGCAAAATCCCTGGTATCTAATGAGACATTAAATCCCGATGAAACTTTTTCCTGCAGGTAGGGAACTGAGGCTGCTCTCAGGTTCGTAGTGACAAGGAAGAGTCAGATCTAGAGTAAGCCATGTTACCTCCTGCCTGGCTTCCTATTTCTTGAATTCTGAGCTGCCAGCTTTCACAAAACTTACAGAAACTTCAGGCAGCAAAACTTGTTTAATACCACTTATTTGCTTGAAATTCAAAAGTGAATGTAAAATTTAAAGGTAGTAACAAGGCAGTCAAACAATATTTTGAGTCCCATAATGAATATAATCCAACATAAATCTGCACTGTTGTCAGAATCACAGAATCAGAATATCAGGAATTGAAAGGGACCTGCAAAGCTCCCCCAGTGCAACCCCCCCAGAGCAGGATCACCAGAGCAGTCACACAGGAACATGGCCAGGGCTTTGGGTGTCTGCAGAGAAAGAGACTCCACAACCTCTCTGGGCAGCCTGGGCCATGCTCTGACACCCTCATACTCACAAAGTTTTTCCTCATCTTCAGCTTGAACCTCCTGTGCTCCAGCTTGGGACCATTGCCCCTTGTCCTGGCATTGGACATCCCAGAGCAGAGCCTGGCTCCTTCCTCCTGACACTCGCCCTTTCCAAATGGATCCCCATGAATTGAGGGCACCCCTCAGTCTCCTCTGCTCTAAGCTAAAAGAAGGAGCAGCCCTGCCTTCCTCTCCTGGTCATCTTCAATTTCTTACCCCCTGCATGCTCCACCTTCTCCTGTTTTTGGCCGATGTTGGTGTTCATACAGCCACTCAGCAAGAGGATCAGTGTGAAAACTACTCCAGCGAAAAAAACAGTTTAAAAACAGTTTTTAACTAGATTGGTTTGCCTGGTCCCAGTACAAGATAGGGGCAGAGGTGGCTCCTCTGGCAGCACTGCAGATCTTTACCAGATTGAGCATGAGAGACTGGATCTTGACAAGTTTAGAGCCAAATTTGGTATTCCTCCATCTCTTATCATCTGTGAGGAAATGGTTTCAGGTAGTGAACAATGAATCGCACTCTACAATAGATAGTAATTTCTGCTTGCTTTAATGGCCTGTCCAGAAAAAAAATTCTAATTAAAGCTACTGCTGTTGCCTTTTATAGAAGTAAAATGAGAAAAATTGGTGGTGGTATTGCAGTATTCTGAAATGTCTGACACAGGGGCTTGTTTCTCCTCAGGCCCATATGACTTAACAATATGGGAAAGCTTCAGTGTAAAGTAAAATTCAGGGAAAGCTACAGGGGAGAAGGCAACCATCACTGTTTTGAAATAAAAAAGTATCCTGTGCTTTGTCAAATGTTTGAAGAAAGGACTCGGTGCTTACCTTGATGTACGGTGTCAGTGCTGTGTGCTCTGGAGGGAGGCACCATGGACTTGCAGAGAGGAAGCCTTGGCTCCAGTGGGGAATAGCGCAAGACGTCTCCATCTTTAGCATTTCCTACTGACCACAGTTTCTGGTTCTGCCTTGTAGGGACTCTTCACATGTATTCTGTGGGTTTTTTGCTTTGCTTTGCTTTGTTTGGAGACCTACTTACATGTTTTTTTTCTTGTTGTGGACCCCATCTTTACAGGACCTAAATCTTCCCGTGCATTGTTCAGGGAGCCTGGACGTGAGGTTTGGATAATGAAGTGCTTCAGTCCTCCTGTGAATCTGGGTTATGGCAATTTTGTTTTTCCCCACACACTGAAGAGTGAAATCATATCGCTTTTTAGTATAAATGTTACTGTAATTGAAAATTTATTTTAAGTTTCTAATGTCACTGAGTAGGTACAGTTTATGAAAGCCAAAGTCCTTTTCTGCTACATTAAAAAGAATAAACAAAACCCCCAACATAGCTCCATTAGAAACACCCTCAGCACTCTCACTCAATTTAAGAGCACGTATGCAGAGAATACAGAGCAAACACTTGTGTTCTGCATATTCTCCAATAATGATTTTGAACACCTATGTCAATAGGAAGTTTCTCCAGAAGCCAGAGTGCACTCCACCTTCCCTGTAATGCTCTGAAGGCCAATAACGAAAGCCGACACATCGTACAGGATTCTGTTCATTAACAGTAATTCCTTAAGACTTGAAACCAATTCATTAATCACGTTAATGATATTCCATTAATGTGAAGAACCTGAAGATAAAAAGGTAGAACCAGGGATATGCTCTGTAGCAACAGTTTTAGGGTAATACTGAATTACAGAATTAGTCTGTAGACTAACTAGAGAATTAACTGTGTCAGCGGAGCACGTGAAGTGAACACCATGGTTTAGGAGAGCAGAAAATGATGGCACAGAATATTAATGATTCTACACAGGGACTGGTTTGCACTGAGGGTGTACTTTGGAAAGGAGACTCTAGATGGTTGCTTTTTGAAATCAGGCCCAAAGTATTTAAAGGACCAAAATCATAAATGATTTAAAGAGTGATACACTTGTTTATGTTGTGGCAGAATGATCCCTATATACTGATCTTGATATCTTTGTATCAGAGGGCAGTAGTGCCACCACTTTGAACACTTCCAGTTAGTTATCACTAGAACATTTTGATAATGACAGCGTATTTTGCAAGATGAACAAAATGAGGGAAAAAATAATAAGAGTTTAGAAAAAAAAAAGGCCAAACAAACCCTGGGAGCACTGACTTCAGCAAGTTCAACAAATATTCAAGCCACATTTAATAACTTTATGAAACTAGTATCAAAGTAAAGAATATATAGTCAAAATACAGAAATAAAGTTGAGTGAGGGAAAACAGCCTGATGAGATCAAACAAAAGAAACAGAACAGATTAATATAAACATGTTAACTGAAAGGTCGCTTTGCTTTGTGTAGCAGTATTTCAGCAATTCATTTCCTCGACAGCCAACTTAGAAGGAAAAGCTAATCTGGAAAAAAAAGATATGCATCACTTTAAAATCCTGTTGTATGTGATACTGTGATTGTTTGTAGAAACTGCATCACCCCAGTTTGCAACCTACGTTAATTTAATAGACACAGTAGATTTTTTTGGTAAGAAAACAAAAGTTTAGAATGAAGTGTCTGCATTCAGCTTTCCATTACACATACATTAATCTTTCTATTGGCTATAATTAAGTCTTTTATTTGTGAACTGCAAATGGTTAGAATTTGCTTACACTTCCAAACCTTTTGTTTGTCATAGATACTTCACTTCTAAAAGTGTCTGATGTAGCACTCACTAACTACAGATACAAAAGGTAGAATAAGGCTTTCCCCGCTCAGAAATTTGCATTTTTGGTAAAGGTAACAATATATCAGCTTCACTAACACCCTAATAATAGGCATACATTTAATTTTATATCACCATCCTTCCAAAGGAAAAAAGAAAGACTAAAAGACGTGTGCAATTGTTTTCTGCTTAGTACAAATTTTTCAAAACAGAACTCATTTTGCTATGATAAACACTATGAATTACATATAAACATATGTGGAAAACAGTGTTCCAGGCTTTAAAAAAAAGAGTTTGATTAGAAGATGAAGATTCTGTAGTGCTATTGTACACTATCCTGTATGCCCAGAGATTTAAAAAACAAAACGAAACAACAGTTTGATGCAGGCTCAGCATCAACTGTACATTATGGTCTTAGACTCAGTATGCTCATTCTATGGTTGAGAAATTTAAAGTACCAGGTTTTTCCACATCAGATAGCTGGGCGTTGGTGCATACATTTCAGACAAGAGATCTAGGATTTCTTTAATTTGAGATGGGATCAGTAACCTATTGTTTAAATGCCCAAAGTGTGCAATAAAAAGGCAGATTTCTTATTACACTGCCTCTTAAGATACTCATTGTTTGATGAAACAAACAAGGTGCTTTAAAACAGCAGAGTAATAGGATACAAACAAGAATGCTGTTAAACTGCTAAAATGGGAACTGCCCTTTCTTTCACAATGAGAGATAAAGAACTTTTGTATCTGGTATTTGAAAGGTTTTTAACAGCTGATATCCAATATCAGCTGATTCCTGAAGTGTTGGCAAGACACCAGGTTTCTGGTACTGGCCATTTCTAATGTTATTTAAATATTCACATCATGCAATAAGCAGTTTCACACGCTGCAATGTAATGGAAAATACTTCCTAAACTGAATCAGAACTGAGACCCAAAGCAGAACCAGTAAATAAATATCTTGCATATATGTCATACTATATTCTCCAAACAAAACCTTACATCTTATCAAAGAAGTCAGAAAGTACTAAAAAAAATAATATGCTTTCTACTATAATACTGTTAAATTTTCATGGCTGAGAATGTCCCGTTATTTTTTTCTGCCTTTTTAAATTAGTTGACAAAGTAGAAATTCAAACACAGAAATAAAATGCATATATATGAGAGCACTGGCTCAGCGAGATATCAAATATACAGCATTCTAGTGTCAAAAGTACAGGCAGAAATGTCCAAGATTTCTTGGTGAAAAAGGGGCATTTGAGGAGTAAAAATTCTACTTAACAATCACTCACATTTTAACAGTGCATTAATTATAACAAAAGCTGGATGATAAGTGAGCAACAGAGTCATAACGTTCAGTGTTCACAGCAGATTTTATCCTCTGCTCATGTAAATGAGGCTGGAAACATATACTCATGTACGTGAAAATTTAAGTAGCTATGTTTTTTTCAATTTTTTCAGGATTCTTGCAAGAGGCAAAGTTGTGACATTGCATTGAGTTGGATGATAGTACAAGGTGGCGTTGACAGAAGTCTTCCTTTCGATGCTGTGCCTCTGGCTTGTCAAAGGGTGATCAGTCTTACAATCTTGTTTGCTCTATTCTTTTGCCTCTAGGAAAAGGGTTTCTTGAGGATACAGTTTTACCTCCAGTAATGATTTATCTGGATCCAGCTGGGTCACCTGTAAAGATAAGAACAGGAAGATATGTGTAAGTGGACTTTTTTGAACTGTTTATCTTCACAGGGCAGATTTTCACCGGGGAGATTTTTGAGTCCCTCCATCAGTGATAGCTGAAGTTGTGAGTATGAATTCCCAAGATACATATTAAGAAATATACACTGTATTTTGTGTTATTATTTTGTAATCACAATAAACAGAATAATTATAAACAGAATCTAGGACATGAATTAAGAAGGTCTGGTTTTCTACCATAAACCAATGTGTGAGTATATTTGTTTCTGTCAAAGTTACAATCTTTTGGAAGGATTACTAGAACACATGAGTTAAGATGAAAAATAGAGCTGTAGTCTCAGATAAGTATCCTAAAATTTACATCAAACTGATGGTGCAGGCAGCATCGCCAATCCTACATGATCTCTCCGACAAAAGGGGAAACTTCTCTGCCTTTATTTTCCTACTCCCTTTCTTGCTCCAAGTCACAAGGTGAAGCATCAAATTTTAACACACCTTGATGCTTATCAGCCACCTCAACAAACCTAGGCTGGGAGAAAACTGCCCATTTTTTAATTGGTTATTTTTCTGTCATGCTAGCGAGTTTAACTGGCATAGACACAAGTCCAGTCAATACCAAATCCAGTGCAAGTTGAGTAGCAAAAGCAGTAAGTTGAAGGGAAGACACAGGGCCCTGCTCCTTTAATTGGAAATGAGATGCTAAACCAACTCACCATATGGTGAAACTGCATCTCAACACAACTATTCAAGTGTGTACTTATTATGAATGTGTATATATTTATATATGTATATGCATGTGTGTCTATATACATATATATGTGCATTTTAAGTGCTATGCATCTATTTATCATTTACGTAGGCACTTATGTGTGTGTACACTTGTATGATAGGATTTTTCCTTGAAATCTTGACTCCTCACTGGATTTGTAAACGTATTTATGCAATCACTTGTGCAGGTGGGCATATAGGAGAATGCCAGTGAGAGTTAAATGCCATGCAATTTGGAAAATAATGATACAGGCACTATCTGCACCACTATTGCCAAAATTCTTCAGCATTTGGATCTTAGCACCAAACACTGTGAGCGGCTCAACATCCTGATTATCCCATTACCGACTTTCACTTCAGGCACATAAGCAATTCTCAGTTTATAGTCAGCAAGAAACTGTTGTGTGGAGGATTCTATTTAGAAGCTAGACTGCTGCCTATAAGATAAATATCTTCTAGGAAAATAAAATTTAATTGTCAATATTACATAATATAATTATTTATATAGACAAAATAATGAAGACAAGGACCCTTCAGACATTCTGGTTTACATGCCAACACTGTGACACCCTTCAGAAGATTACTGCAAAGCTTCATATAGAAATATTAATATTATTTCTTTTAATCTTGGCATTTCCTGAAACATTTCACTTCAATTTTTAAACTTATTTTTCCTGGTAATTCTGTTTTAGTTTATTTTGCTGTGTAAGCACATGAGGGATCAGAAGTTTGCTTGTGAATAATAGATGATTAGTCTTGTGCGATAGGTATAAATGCAGATGCATACCAATAAACATTTTTTCCAAAGTTAAATTTGTTTTATCTATGATCGTATCACACCACTGCTTTCTAAAATTATTTTTTTAAAACATTAAGTGTCAAGCACACAAAGTACTATGAGTTAATAAGAAACACTAAGTGTATTTTTCCTTAAAAGTATAACTTATTAATCCTGTTACCAATTAACAAAAATGGTATTGCTCCACTTTTTCCCCCCACTAAATCAGGCAAACTTAAAATATATTTGTATTTCCATTGCTTTCTTGGATAATTACAGAGAATTTATTATTTAAACAAATATTAAAAGCTTATCACTTCCCACGTCCATTTAGAACAATTTAATTTCTCTTCTGACTGCACAGAATTAAAAACAAACCGGAATTAAAAAACCCCCAAACGGATGCATTATTTTGATTCCCAAAGCAGCAACATGTTTTCTTAAACTTCATGTACTTCATGTGTGGTATTGCTAAATGTCTGAAGAGAAAAATGATTTCTAAAAACCAGACACAATTTTAGATTCCTATTATCTACAGTCCAATGATGCATTC